TGAGCCACCCCTTGATTTCAGAGTTTCTGGGTGCGTCTACACATTCAATGAATGCACTTGAGGTTATGCACATTAAATCTAGTACCTCCATTGTGAGGTACTAGGAGAATGGGCATTAGCGTATTTTAATGCTCACTAACTAAAGAGCATGTTTTTTTCTAATGCTTTAATGTGCATGAAAACAGGCACATTAAAGTGCACATGTAGATGTGCCTTCTCGGATGCAAAATAAGTTCCATCTACTACACTTGCATCAACCAAAGGCCCTAGAAAGGTAAGACCCATACAGTGCCAGACAGGATAAAGTGAAGCTGGAGTGACCTCTCCACGCTGCAAAGGCCTGGAGGTGCTGGGTCATCTGCACCCCGGTATACGGACGACCCAGTGCACACCAGTGTCCTCCTCTCAGCCTTGCTGGTTAAATCCAAAGGAAAATTAGGTGCTGAACGAGCTTGGCTGCAGGAGCTGCCAAAACAAGGGAGATCATTCACTTGCCTGTCTGCACTGAGAGTAGCTGCCAACTGGGATTAAAGAGCAGTCTACCCCATTAGGGAGAAGACTTCAGTCCCATAACCTTTGGGTGGCATTTCCTGTGCCAGGTGTAATACGTGTATTCCTCTCTAAGGTGCTGTTCTGGCCAAAGCCTAGATTTGCCACGTTATTTAACTGCCACTTAGCACATGACATTATGAGCACTGGTAGTATTGTCTACTGTAAATTATGGTAGCAGGCAAACCTGCCCTGACCTGCGCCAGCCCTAGATTGTCCCTATAATGCAGTGTGATGGCTTTACCTTCTGCCCTGCACAGCGGGGAGGGGTAAAAGGCTGTCTCCTGTATTATGTACAAAGTCAGACCAAACCCTTATGGTGGCTCCTTAAAATATGTGACGAGAGTACAGATGCTGGTCTAGATGAACTGTGGATTTGGCATGTTGGGAATATACTGGTGTGAAAATGAAGTAATAGAGTTGTGAATCAAGTGTGCATGAGTGTGAGAGAGAGAAACCTAGAGTATGCATGTGATGGGCATTTTAGAATCACAGAAATGAGGGTTGAAGGGAGCTCAGGAGTCGCATCTAGTCCAACCCCTGCTCCAAGCAGAACCAGCCCCAACTGCATCACCCCAGACAAGGCTTTGTCTACCCGGGTCTTAAACACCTTGAAGGATGGAGACTCCAGTGCTTCTCCACCCTCCTAGTGAGAGAGTTTTTCCAAATATCCAACTTCAACTTCCCTTGCTGCAACTTGAGCCCATCGCTCCTTGTTTTAACATCTGCCCCCACTGAGAACCAGCCCAGCTCCATCCTCTTTGCAGCCCCCCTGCAGGGATGTGAAGGCTGCTATTTTAGCAAAGTGCAAATTTCAATGCAGCCTTAAATACGGAGCCACAGTGTTCAGTAGCACCTTGTGTGTGCAGTGAATATGCTGCTGTTTAGGTAACTATTTCAATGTGCACGTTTATCAGGATAGAGCTTTTATAGGGCTGTGCAAAGCAGCGGAGAGAGCTCCCATAATGCTGTACTAGTTAAGTTAAAGCAGGGGTATCCAACTCATCTGGCCCTGCAAGCTGGGTGAGTGGTGAGGGGCTGGTCTGTGGGTCAGATCAGGCCCGTGGACCCCTCCCCTCCACGTGCCTGATCCAGCGCACGCAGCACCCGCCGGGGCCAGTCTGCAACGTCCTGGGACCCAGTCCTAGTGGGCAGCGTGTATCCGAGGCACCGCACACAGGGCCAGTCTGGTGTAGCGTGTACATCAATGGGGCAACGCCGGACTATGGGGCTTTCCGAGTTGGATCCAGCCTGCAGGCCGTACGTTTGACACCCCCTGTTAATAGCAATTTAGATTATGCCTGCTTAACCGTTGTGAGAATCATCCAGTCTTTCCTTTCTCCATTGAATTGTCCAAGTTGTGCGAAGGAAGCCCTTTCAGGCTGCGCTGACTCAAACTTCCTGCTTCACGTGAAATCAATGGGGCCTGGGGGTCGCGTGAAGCAGGTGCTTTCACTGCTTCGCCGGATCGGGGCCCCGCACTGTCTATTCTCAGACGTGGCTGTAACTGGCTGTGTTCGGAGGTCCGCGAGCGGTGAAGAGCCAGCTGGTATCAGCAGGATGTGCCTTGAAAATGTGACAGCAATGCAGGAAAACCCACGATAAGGCCCATTCTTCCTAGTGCAGCAGTTCCTGGTGTTGCCTGGGAAAGTTTTGTCTGCTTCAGCTTAAAACCCGTTGGCCTCTCTTCTGAAAACCCCCACTCACACCCCTGCTCCCGGTGGCTTTGTCCTGTGCTGCTTGACAGGGAAGGGTCATGCCGCTGGTGTGGCCTGGAGCTGATGGTTGGCAGGAGAGGGCTAGGGCTGAAGTGAGGCACAAGCCATTTGCTCACCCTTCAGGCCAGAGCTGAACGTCACTCCGAAGACCAGACTACGCTTCGTGGAGCGGGGCAATTCTTACAGGAGCTAATGAGATTTGCATCAGCAGCTCAGATAGGGGGGAGCGGGGTGAGCCCTCCCAGGCTGTATTGGCTGCTACCTTGTGCAACTGCTAGGGCATATTTGGGACCGGTCTCTGGCTGCAGGGATTTGAGTTTCCTGCTGGCTCAGGTACTGCAAGAGCCACCTGTTCAGATTCGTAGATCATAAGGCTGGAAGGGGCCTTGGAAGATCATCGGGTCCAGCCCCCTGCATCAAGGAGGAAAGACAACTGGGGTCAAGTGCCCCCAGCAAGGTGTCCATCCAGTCTCCTCTTGAAGATTTCCAAGGTGGGGGGGTCATCCAGAATGAAGAGAGGAACCAAAAAACCTCCTGTTATCCCTCAAGAACCATTGGAAAGAGGCAGGTGGCCCCATTTCATAATGTGTAGGCAAAAAATACGCATCGTGTACAAGCGCCCTTCACGTGCGATGGCACCTGGTTCGCAGAGAGCCGAGCTATCTCGGGTACGGCCAGCCACAGCGCAAAGCACGGTGCAAGCAGCAAAACCCACTGGAGGATCTGGGTGATCCTCAGGGCTGCTAGCTTGTACTGAGATGCAGGCTGCTTGCAAGGCTCTGATATAAGCTGCATTGAAATACCTTTGCAGCATGGACGTAGCCACAGCCCCAAGAGGAAACCCCTCTCCTTTGAGTTTTAGCAATATTTGTAATAGGCTGTTGCTGCATGCTGTTAAGGAGCTGCGGTGCTATACGCCCCAGAGGTGCCATGCTTTATTCTAGTGAGCAAAGTAGTTCTTGGATACCTTGCAAAGGTGGTTGTAAAGGCCCTGTGTGAATATACAGGGCTGCTCATATTGAGGCTATAGCCCAGAAAATAGGTTGGACTTGGGTTCTTGTCCGTTCTGCATGTTACTTTGGGCAAGTGGCTTCTCCTGTGTGGGTGTCTCTCTCCCCTCCATCCAGGAAGAGCACAGACCAACTGCAGATGCTTCCTCAGCCTGACAAAGGGTATTTCTACCCGAAAGCTTGCAAAGAAGATTTTTTTCCAATTATTTGAGTTGGTTTAATAAAAGATATCAGATTTACCCAAAGAACCTAGTCTGCCGACGTCCTTAGACCGACATGGCTACAATCTATACCTCTCTTCCCTCCTGACCTTTCTCTACCTTATCTATAGTGTGCAAGCCATTCTGGGACTCTGGCTTCCTATGTATACGTGCAGCGCCTTGCACAGTGGGGCCCTCGTCACAGCCATTAGCATGATTTGCATTGGGTGCTGGGTAGACATGCACAGTGTCTTTGAGTGGGTCCCTGTAAAGTCTGCAGAGCTCCTTTGGAGAATCAAAAACCGGGCTGGGATTTTCAGTTCAGCTTTCCAGGAGAATAAATGGGATCTGCTTCCATGCTGGGGAGTTGAATTAAGTTTGGTGCATGGAGAGCCCTCCACATTGCTCTCCCTGGGTTGATGACAACCCCGTGCCCTCTCCTCAGCACCCTCAACCCTCCCTCAGCAGAGACAGAGCTAATGTCAGGACCGATACGGGACTAATCTAAAATGCATTTAGCTTATCCCTCCCAATGCAGGTGGAACGAAACCACTGCGCCACTGTTGTGTTTCTGCTTTGCATATGGAGGGGGCTGTTTCTTTTTATGTCCCTTTGTTACACTCAGCTGGTGCCTCCCTTGGGACCTCTTTCTGCATCAGATTGGGGCCTAAAGAACTTCTTCTTTTTTTATTTTTACAATAACAAATACCACCCCCGCCCTCGCTACACATCATTAATAGTCCTGTGTGAACCACTGGCCATCTGCATTCACAGCAGACCCGCAGGGGAACCGCCTGCCAGCTACAGGGGTAGGTCAGAAGACCTATTTTTATGAGCTGAAAAGCTCTTGGGGGGGTGGAAACATCGGTGTTGCCCAAAAAAGGAAATCGACACTAAGCTGCTTCAGTTGTGATTGGACGGGGAGTTTGGGCGGATGTTGGGGGCTGCTGGGAAGACCCGGTTCGAGGCAAGTGTTTTTTTGCTTCAGAGCAACAGCTGTTTAAATGCCCTGGAGATACCGGTGTGATCGGAGCCTTGTTCGGTAACAGATCATGGCACGGTTCAGAGGATAGCGGCTTAGCATCCCACGAGAAATGTTTTGGTTTATACATGCAGCGCATTCTGGGAGGCTGTGCTTGGTAGCACCAGTATCGTATCTTGCAATCTGGGTTTGCGGGATTTGCAGATTTACATTGAGATTAGGGACTCCCTCTTGCAAGGCACAAAAACTGCACACAGTCCCTTTCATCTAAATCTTAACTAAGGAGGTAATATTATACCCATTTTGCAGATGGGGCAGGTAAGGAACAGAGAAGGGATCGCAGGACTTGTCCCAGGCCACCAAGAGAAACTATGGCAGAACCAGGACATGAACCCAGTTCATTTTTTTCCCAGTCCTGGTCTTTAGAAACAAAGTTGTCCGTCCTCTTGAACGTGCTACCAGTTTCTCACGAGCAGCCCCAGCAACGAGGTCCCGGTACAGCTGGCTTGCTATATAACTGATCTATCCATTTGCCTTTCAGAAACCTGCAGCATTGCTCACGATGAAACTTCTGGCCTAGGAGAGATTTTCTCTGGGGGTCAAGCTGCTGTGCTTTGAAACCTGGCTGTCTTCACTCCAAATGGCTTTGTGCCTCAAGCAAGTGTTCAACAAGGACAAGACCTTTCGTCCCCGGAAGAAATTTGAGCCTGGCACGCAGCGGTTTGAGCTGTATAAGAAAGCCCAGGCTTCTCTCAAGTCTGGGCTGGACTTGAAGGCCGTGGTCCAGCTACCACCAGGGGAGAACATCAATGACTGGATCGCGGTGCACGTGGTTGACTTCTTCAACAGGATCAACCTCATCTATGGGACCATGTCCGAATTCTGCACTGAGAAGACCTGTCCCATCATGTCCGGTGGGCTCAAGTACGAGTACAGGTGGCAAGATGATAACAAATACAAGAAGCCGACCAAACTGTCGGCACCCCAGTACATGTGCAAGCTGATGGACTGGATCGAGACACTCATTAACAATGAGGACATTTTTCCTACCAGGATAGGTAAGCAGGCTACAGTAAACTATTGGCAGGTCCTATATCTACTTGCGTGTTGCATGCACCCCTTCCCCAAAAATCAGCCCTACAAAGTTGCGATGCATATCTTAGGTTGGGAATTTAATTTTCTTCCCTGGAATAGAAGCAGGGAGACACTGCTGCAAGATGGCTGCCGTGCTTGCATCTTGGCACCTTTCAGGGTCAGAGTGACAGTGTTAACCCTTTCACAGCCACATTTGTGTAGTCAGGGTCACCTGTGATCAGTATTTAGCTATGACTGGAAAGATTTTTTTTTTTGGTCTTCATTCATCCTTTTCAAAACAAGGTCCACATCTTATTTGGGGGTATATGATATGCAAGATAATACTTAAAGCAGGGGTTCCAGATGTGCAGCCTGAGGGCTCCTTGTGATCCACAGCCTTTGTATTCGGTTATTTGTCTCAAGTGATCAGAGAGAATTTGTGTAAGTGTTGACCTATGATGAACCAAGCAATGATCCTCCTCGTTAGAGCTTGGTTATATGTTAGGTTGAGCAAAAATGGGATTGCATTGCAGGTTCACTTGGTGGTGTGGCTCCTTACATCACCTACCACCCTTCAAGTGGCCTTCCAGGAACCGAAATGTGGGAACTGGTGGTTTAAGACCCAATAAAGATATTATTGTGATCATATATTGTAGGCAATGGAATTTCATCCAGGGATTCCCACATCCTGCCCTGACAAGGCATGGGACTTTTTTAGCCAATGATTCAGACTTGATTTCAAGCTGATGAATGATGGAGAATCTACCACATCCTAGTAATCTCCTTCCATGCATAATTATTCTTCCTCTTTAAAAATAACTGCCTCAGAATAATTGGAAAGGCAAGGGAAAATTAGCTGATTGCAGCATAAAGCCGCTGTAATGAAGTGGTGCTAGCTTGTGGAATTATATTTTTTCCTAAACTTGGGCCTTTGTGGAGGTGGGAGAAGTCCTAGAGCCAGGCAGGCTGTGTGGACAGGTGCATCTCAGGCTTCCTGCAAACTCTTCTACAGACGCACCTTGCTCTTGACCTATGTTGTATCTGATACTCCTCGTCCTAATGATGGTGGGAACAGCCAGCGAGGTGGTCTTCTTAAATCACCACCAAGGGAATTAGGACTTGGCACACCAGAAATACACGCTCTTACCACCTTAGCCAGGATTTGAAACCTGGCTTCTAGAAGCCAGACACAGCTGAATTACTCAGTGCTGTTGCTTAACCTTCAGATTTAATGCTACACGGGCTAGTCAGGTTCTTCTGCATTCTTTGAGGAGCTGAGCATTCAGGGATGATATTGTGCTCTGTGATGGGTATCGGTGAACCACCCTGCTCTCTGAAGCACTATTACTATCCATTTAGTTTCCTAAGAGGTTGCTCTCATTGTTTTCAGTGTTTTTACGAAGGACTGGGACTCTATAAATAAACTTCCCCCTAGATAGCAATCTCTCCTCTCATTTGGTTTATATGCCACCAAGCCTCTCTGTCTCTCTTGGAAATGTTTTCTTTTCAGATGAAAGAGAGCTCTTCAGTTGGTGTGAAGTGGCATAGCTCCTCATCTCCTCTGGTCTGTTTCCAAGGCTAGGGACAAAAATTACACACAAACCCGTAAGAGTGATTGGAAACCAGTTCAAATCTGTAACACAACATAAGTTCAGTGCACATAAACTGCTTGCAGAATGGCCGAAACCGGTTTAAGATAAACCTGGATGGTTGTAGTATCAGATTTAACTGATTTAAGTTTATTGAACTTCTGTCCTTGATCCCCCTCCAGATTCAAGTTAACTCACAGTCCCCCAAGATGCTTTGCATCTCCCCTACAAACCCCGCTTGTTGGGTGGGCAGGCTAGCCTTGGCCCAAGCAGTCTGCTCCAGCTGAGCAGGGAGGTGTACTCTAGCACCCCCTGGCTTCTGGCCTGGGCCACTGCAGGCAAGTGGCTGCATTTCCAGAATCAGAAGTGAATGTCTGTTCACTTGCTTACTGGTTCAATCTATGCAGCTTAAACTAACCTGTGAAGATTAAATTGATTCAGCCTTGGGCTTTTTGACTCTGTACTTAGCCCAAATGACTTGTATGAATTAGGATTCCATTAATTCCAAAAGATGATTTTTGCATACCTTAGGGATATATCTGTGTTACCCACACAGGCTGGCTCCTCAGTCTGTCTTGATAACCAGACCCAAGATAAGTTAATGCAGTGCAGTGAGTGCAGACTCACATTGCACACACAGGTAGTGGTTGCATCCTTGACTCTGTGCTACCACAGCATTCAGGTGTGTTCTGGTGTGCTGTGTCGGACACTGCATGGCCTTCTTGGAGAACTTGGAAGGAAAGACTTGATTGGAGGCTTACTGGAGAGGACAAGGTTAAATGACAAAGTGGTTTCTAGCCTGGGTCACTTCTTGCTGTAAGAGGAAAGGCAGATCATGAGAAGATCATGGAGTATTGTGGGATAGCATTGGAGGACTGCCTTGGGTTGATGGTTGTACCAGAGCACTGCTGTCATATAGAATCATAGAAATGAGGTTTGGAAGGGACCTCAGGAGGTCATTTAGTCCAACCCCCTGCTCCAAGCAGGACCAGCCCCAACTACATCATCCCAGCCAAGGTTTTGTCTAGCTGGGTCTTAAAACATCTCCAAGGATGGAGAGTCCACCACCTCTCTGGGTAGCCTGTTCCAGTGCTTCACCAGCTTCCTGGTGAGAGAGTTTCTTCCTAACACATCTGTGTTGGGTCCAGCACAATGAGGTACATGCTCTTCATCCTAACGTGGGACTGCTCATGGGCTGTAACTCGGGGTCTTTGCGCCGAGCAGGGAAGGATGCAGAATTCCCAGGAGCCAAAACAAAGATGCAAGGAGAGAACTGCAAGTGTTTTAAGCAAAGCTTTCTATAATTGGCTTCCTAGCTTCATCCCCAGGGACACAACCCAAATCCAGACTAAACACAGTTACACCCTGATCTTACAGGTGATGGAAAGAAATACATTAACCTTGGCTGTAAGTTGGGTAGCACTGAGAGCACCTTTGCAGAGGTGCCTGCAGGAGATGATGGAATGAGTGGATATTGACTGTTGCCGTAGGACAAAGGTATTAATTGCCCTCTTCTTGTGCTGGCCCACAGGTGCTTGCATGAGCCACCACTGAGACTTTCCAAAGCAGGTACTGTAATGCATCCTCCTCAATAAGCGGCTTGGTTAACAGAGGTTCTGAGTAACCAGAGCTGCTAACAGCATAAGGATCTACTGCTTTGCTTTTGGAAGATCAGAGCTCTTGAGTACTTAAATACAGATTAAAGTGCCTAAGTTTTAGCCAATATCCTAACCTGAGATCGAAAGTTGCTTGATAACTTCAAGATCTAGCTTTTTTGTTGACTGCCACCCATCACTGGGGCATCTGTGCTCCTCCTTCAAATCAGGAAGGGCAGTGAAGTTTTTTTTTTACATTTCATGGCATCTCTGATGCATAAGGAAGAATCCTTTCTGGGGGTCCACGTTTTGCATGGTGGTAGAAGTGGTCTCTCTGTTGGTTTTGGTTTCAGTTCTGTGGCGAGGAGGATTGAGTTGGATAAAAAGATGTCAGTGCATCAGTGCAGGTGCTACAGTGGGGTCTCATGTCCAGAAAGTCTTCCTCATGACAGCCAACCCAGAACCGGTCTGTTGTATCTTCAAGCCATATCGTGAGCAGAGCTCTTATTAAGCCCACATTAATGATGCATTTGCTGTGTTGATGTGTCCTGAATCCTAGTCAAGGCTCCTTATTCTGGGGTCCTGCAACTTCTGCTTGGACAAGAGCAGGTCAGTTAGCAAGAAGGAGGTCCAGGCTCCTTGGATGAAGACTCCAAGAGCTATGGAGACTCCATCGTGGCCCTAAACTGCTCCAATGAATAACTACCCTCCTGGTTAGCATTTGCACCTCATGCTTAGTTGGAATTAATCTATCTAACTTCAGGTTCTAACTACCAGACCTCATTACTCTGTCTCCCTGATGGATTAAAGAGCTGTCGATGATCAGAAATCTCTTCTCCATGTGGGCACCTCAAGGTTATTGTCAAGTTGCCTCTTAATCTTCTTGGCTGCATCCAGACGAGCGTGACTGTGCGGTATGTGGAGCCGCAGACACGTCCGCCGTGTCACATACCGCACATTCAGCTGTTCTGTATGCTGCAGGAGAGCAGCTCGAGGAGGTTTGTTGGCCCGTGGATATCCAGGGGTCAAAAAAAACCTGTGCAAAAAAAAAAAAGCAGAGCAACAGCATACGCCGTTCAGAACCAGAGCCTGGCCGGCTGGAGCCACGCTTTGGCAGGATTGCTGCTGTTGCAGCCCCTGGGAGGCCCCCAGGTAAGGCTGCTGGGGCTAATGCAGTGCTTGTCCCAGCCTCTCCTACCCCACCTGGGGTAACTTGCCATGTGCCAGAGGGCACGTGGCATGGGTGTTCCCCAGGGAAAACTGGCGGTGGTACAAGGTGTGCCATCACTAGTTGTTTCTGGGATACCAAATGTCCTTACTCACGTAGACTCGGCCACTGGTTCGGGTCAGCATCTTCCAGTCGTGGTGATGCTGGCACACCACATACAGGTCATACCCGCGCCCTAGTGATAACTGATATTTGTTCAGTTTCATATTCATTTGTTCAATATGTGTTCATGTAAGGATCCTGAACTCTCCACTACTGCACTTCACTGGGAGCTCACTGACTTGGTTATTGGCCATCAGTTCCAGGTACTTTTCAAAGTTGCCTCATTCATTCCCCTGTGTTTTGACCTTTTTGAGAGGAGCTGATTCCCCCCACCCGCTTTCTGTTTGGAAATGGAGACATTTTTCACTTTCATTTCTTTATTTTTTTTTTAAATGACAATTTTTTGTGCTAAAAATATTCGGGTTTTCCTTCTCCCCTTCCCTCGCGGTTTCCATAGCCAGGAGAAGCCAGATAATGGATTCTTACACAACACTGACACGTCGCATAAGTCTTTCATAGCGCTACCGTCA